TGAGTAAAATCTCACACGTTTGAGTAAAATCTCACACGTTTGAGTAAAAACTCACACGTTTGAGTTATAACTCACACGTTTGAGTTATAACTCACACGTTTGAGTAAAAACTCACACGTTTGAGTTATAACTCACACGTTTGAGTAAAAACTCACACGTTTGAGTTATAACTCACACGTTTGAGTTATAACTCAAACGTGTGAGTTTTTACTCAAGGATTCCCTCGCAATGAGTTATAACTCCCAACTTCAGGATTCCGTCTATTGATATGATTTGGAATTCGAAGTTTCTTAATGACCCTGCGACCATCAAATGACCCGTTGTTATTTAGAGAATTAGGATCAGAAAAGATCGAAAATAAAGTTGTTCTGTGAAAATGATATTGTTTAAAACCTGAAATATATTTAAGGCAGGGATCGCCAATTGAAAGACATCAGAATTCCCACAGTCGACCCCGCGCGGTACGGATTTTCGTCATTTGCCGGGTGTTCCTGGGACATCCCGAAAAAATCTGTAGATTTCATTTTTTTTCGACCAAAGCACCCCCTGCCGCAGGAAGATATATATTTCACTTGGCGGTCCGCTCGTCGACGGGAACAGGCCTAAAGGTTTCACTCGGCGGTCCGCTCGTCGATGGAACAGGCCTAAAGAAATAAAAATAGACCATAAATAGAAAAATTTAATTTGTTTATTGATTTTTCTCTGATTAAATGTCAAAAATATCTTGGTCTGAAAAGCGGTCCCGCGGTTTTGATTAGTCAATCCTTTAAGTATATTTTGATCGCGAGCCAAAGTTGTTGTCAATAAACAGGCGCGGTTGCCCCTGCAGAGGTCCCATCAATCACTCGGTTGCGCTTGAAGAGGTCCCACCCCTGTACCTGGTTGCGCTTGCAGACAAATTCGAAAATGACCACTACTCCTTATTGTTCATTACTGCAGAGCTGAGTGCTGAGTGCTGAGTGCTGAGTGCTTGCACCCGTTGAAACCTCCTTGCTTCATTAGGGCTGAGTATTTCCAGTGCTATGCACCCGTTGACTCTCGTGTCTCAGTAGAGATCGCCCAAACTGTTGTAAGAAAACCACAACTCCTTGCTTGATTTCCGGCAGACAATGTTGCGACAGTGCTACACCTTCCAAATGTATTGTAATGGTACAGAAACGTATTGGTCGCCCCTCCTGAAAGGGAATGCCAGAACCTGTGTTTGAAGATGTGCCAGAGATACTGGACGGCTTGCTTTGACAGTCTAAGATTCGATGTCTTGTTTTGGAGCGTTGTTCTTGCTTAGTATGTCAGCATGGAGCACCTTGGACATTACTACATGACAACGACGCCCGTGATGACGGTTCTCTGTCTTTCGATGGCAAGCAGAAACGACAATCCACTACAAGCAAAACATGCAATGTCTTCGTCTTTCAATGGCAAGCACAAAGCCGACGACAATGCGCAACAAGAAAGAATGTCCAAGATGAGTGGCCTTTCGTACTAACTTCCATACCATATGCCAACTTAGGGTCCCTCGGAACTGCTCTTCCCAAGTCAAGCTACCTGATTTCTGCTCAAGATCTCATTTGTGGTATTATCGTTTTGTTGATTTCTTCTTTATTGATGTTGTCAGGCTCTGGACACATAAGAACTATTACGAGCAATAAGCATTTTTATAACAGATTACTACTAAGCTAGGCTACTACTTTCTGTTTTTTTCTTCTCACTGCAAAGAGTTCCTTACGGATATCGTCGATTTCTTCCTCATTGTTGATTTTTTGTTTGGATCTAAGCATTTTGTCTTTTACTTCTCTAGCGTCGTTCAAATAGTTGATGAATTTTAGCTTGCGAACAGCTTGGTAGATCCTAGGTCTGAAATAGCTGTTTGGGAAGACCTTGTACTCCTTGTACTCCTCTCGTGTTTATACAGCAAAGATTGTTTCAATCAATGGGCCGTTCCGAGGTGGTATGAGCGACAAAGAAATTTACCAAAACAAAGTCAAAGACAGAATTCCTGATGGCAAATTCCTTGTTGCCGATAGGGGCTATACTAACAACAAGGTCCCAGGATGGAACGACAAGTTTGCGTTTCCCTCCCACACTGACTCCAAATGGTTGGCAAACACAAAATCTCGCCTACGATGCAGACATGAAGCAGTGAACGGGAAACTTGTCCAGTTTGCGGTATTGCACAAAGAGTTCACACACCCCCATGACAAACATGTATTCGCATTCGAAGCAGTTTGTGTGCTCGTGCAATTGTCCATGAACTTTGGACACCCAATTTGGGGAGCCTAGAGCACTGTAGTTTTAAAGAAGCACACTAATTGGATATTACTGTATTACTGTACGATGCGATGTATCAAATTCTTTATCCTCTCACACATACATCACTTGACAAAGCCATCGGGTCGGTCTCGGAGTGACCGGGAGGTGTTGCTTTCATATATTTAAAGGTATTTTCAGTTGTATATCGAGTTTTAATGATCATTTAAAGAAATTCAGAATTTAACGATCTTCAACGGAGAAATTTATATCTCCATTACCGTATGAATACGACAAATTGATGTAGCGTGTTAATTGAAAATTATCTGTAGATGATCGTGAAGATTCAAAGTTCTCTGTAGATGATCGTGAAATTTGTTAAGTAATACTTATCGGTTCAATTCCACGATTATCTACAGAGACTTTTGAATTTTCACGACCATCTACAGAGATCTTTTTGTCTTCACGATCATCTACAGACTTTTGTTATATAGAAGGTGGTGGCGCGTTAATTGAAAATTCCCTGTAGATGATCGTGAAGATTCAAAGTTCTCTGTAGATGATCGTGAAGATTCAAAGTTCTCTGTAGATGATCGTGAAATTTGTTAAGTAATACTTATCGGTTCAATTCCACGATTATCTACAGAGACTTTTGAGTTTTCACGACCATCTACAGAGAACTTTTTGTCTTCACGATCATCTACAGAGAACCTCTTGTTCTACGCGACTATTGTTAAGTAATAGTAGGTAGCGCGTTAAATGAAATAGGCCTAAAAACCTGTAGATGGTCGTGAAAGTTCAGAAAAAACCTGTAGATAATCGTGAAGATCGAAGATTCTCTGTAGATGGTCGTGGTTTTGTTAAGTATTATTTATTGGTTCACAATCACGATTATCTACAGAGAATTTTCGATTTTCACGACTATCTACAGGTTTTTTTCTGAACTTTCACGACCATCTACAGGTTTTTTAGGCCTTTTGCAATTTCTCGCACTGGCGGAAGGACAATGGCTCGCTTTTCTCCTTCTGGAAGGAGTGCCATTTTTGACCAAAAAAATCAGTTACAGATTTTTTCGGCATGTCCCTGACTCCAATAATACAACGAACGAGATACCGATTTCCCGGAACACTGGTTTATAAAAAACTAGAAAAGTCTCAAAACACGATTACTACAGAGTGGGTGTCACGGTATCCGGGCCAGAAAAAAGGTCTTTCCGACAACCGAGCTATACTGTGTCATGTACCATGTACAAGCAGGCAGCAAGCAGCTATCCAGGGCGGCGAGTTTCACCAAGAATACAATGCTTCCCTTAGTCTTCAACAATATAAGAGATCGCAGTACTCGCAAACGGATATCCAATTTCTGCAAGCTCACCCTTGCTTATTCCAAGCTCGGGCAACTTGCAATTCTTTTTCTTGTGTTCCTTCTAGTCCTTCACTCCCATTCAAGGGCGACAAAGGCTTCTGATCAACTCTTACAATTCAAAGAAGAAGAGTCCATACTGCTTTTACAGTTACAAAAGATAGAGAAAAAATCGCTCAGTCTACATGAAAATGTTCGAACCAGAATGTATCGCACGGGAATTCACAAAGAAGCATTGGATATCATTGAAAGAAAATCCGAGCTCGTCAGCATGGCGCAAGAACTGAGTGGAAGAGTCGAGGGTGTGAGAGCAAGAATTGAGCAGGCTGGAAGAGAACAGATCATTCGTGAGTATGGAGAAGGTCCGGTAAAAGTAATTCTTGAACTTGATTTCAGCGATCCGAGAAATCGATTTGGTGCTGCGAAGGACAATACTGCTGCAAGGTATCCACGCATTTTCCAGCCCGGGGAAGAAAGGTCTTTTGTAACCATTCTACTTTGGCCAGAAACACCTCATTCTGCATGGACTTGGCTAGAACAGATCAGAAGGCATGTGTGGGATGGAGCTTCCTTTCGCTGGGACCCAGATGAACCTTTGCTAGAATTATCTCCTATCAAAGGAGACGCGCTCAAACGTGGACAGCTGCAATTTGAAGAGTATCACAATACGCCGCACTGGCACACGGCATGGTCAGTTGGAGTCAGAAACTCGGCCGATGGAAAATTGCAAATGACGTTGGATCTCTCTGACAACTTCGACAGCAAAGACACTTGTATAGGAAGGGTGATTGATGGGTATGATGCCCTGCAACGTCTGTTTGAATCTACCAATCAGAATGGAGAATTTACATTCGTCAGGGTGAAACGTGTGAATGCGATGCACATGACACACCTCGAACTATCCAACGTTGAACGATGATGATGCGAAGAGCAAAGTAATACTATTCTCGAGGCTCAATCTATTTGTCATCGTTTTTTGAATTGAAAGACTTGCAGTTGCAAGAAATCGATGCAGCTATGCCTTCACAGCCTCTATGATGAACATTGGGTCACAATAGGAGTTGTCGGGTTGAGTTGCTGTGATATCAAATGCTTTTCTAGGCTCTTTAAAGCCTCCGGCATATTGAAAATAACCATTGATCAACTCAAGATGCTGTCGATCGTTCATCTGAAGCCACATACTGATGGCCTTGCTTGGGAAACAGCGATTGGATTGGCTGATGATAATTTTCCCACCTGGCTTTAAAATTCTGCAGACTTCCTCGAGCACCTTGACTGGTTCAATCAAATAGTCTAGTTCGACGGCACCGGAACTACCATAAGACTCGGACAACAGGCATATGTTGAAGCGAGCTGTTGCATTGACTTACCGATACTCACAACACAAGTCACAACATCAAAAGACGCATCATCATATGGAAGGGTAGGGTCTGCATTCAGGTCTTTGTCCTTGAATCCACCAGTTAGCTGATCGTTAAATCCTAGTTCCAAAGCGTTCATACCCGTAGCACATATTTTCGACATCGTATCGGGAAATTCTGGAGAATTTTCAATCGATAAACAGCGCAGAAAACGAACATCCTCCAGTGAGAACAATGCAACAGCACCAGTAACGAAATTGTTTGAGAGACAAACCTAGTGGGAAATGGGATACCCAGCTCGCGCATATGTCTATATCGCAGCAGCGCGGCCGTTCGTGTACGATATATCGAATTAGAGAGATCAGTGCTGATGCAGTCAGTTGCATCACAGGTTGGTTGTACGTACCCAATATTGCCGAACCTTTTGGTATGTTTTTTCGATAATATTGTGTGAGCGAAGCAACAGCAGGCTCGTCGATATGATACACCAATCGTGGGATGGTGTAGAAACTCGAATCATCAAGGCTGTCGGCTCTCTGAAAATCTTCTGGACGAAAGGGTGTTTTTTCGGGCCATTCTTTCACCAAACGAATGGGAGAAACCGGAAACGAGTATGGAGTCGAATCACCAGTAAACTGCTCTCTCAGAGTAGAAGTTGGATCCATGATGTCAGCTGTCCCCGATAATCGAAGCAACTGCATACCCTGACCGATTCAATAGACTTACGCGACGAACCAAGATTCCTCTACTTCTTGGATTACCATCTGGACCATCAGCGTATTTCATCTCCAACTCTTTCTCAATGTATCGTGGATTCTTAGTTCCTTGTGTCTTTATTTTGTCCATGGCGTCGCAAGACTCGGCATTCGTAGCGAGGCCACTGGTTGCAGTAACAAAACTCGCAGCTCCAGCCGACAGGAACTGGGCTCTCGAGAAGTTGGATTTCAAAGCAAGGCTAGTCGAATGAGGTACCGCATAGGCGATCCAAGCAGCTGATAGTGTCGAGCATCGACTTTTGGATGAGTACAACTTCATTGCGTAGAAATAATGTGAGGTTCTTGGCGCGGTCTCCAGAATATCTGATTTGGGTGGCGGCCCATATTCGGAGGGGAGGTGCGAAACAAACAGAGGGGAAGAGTTTGGACCATTTTTCACTACCGGAACAAAAGTTTCGTACAAAATTACATGCCGGTACGGTCGTACAAGTACTAACTGGTACTACACGTACGGTACAGTACATAACGGAACAAAGAAGTTTGCGTACGGCGTCTGTACAGCTTTACGTAAGACTTGGTATGGCACCGGTACCAGGTACGGTATTACTGTAGCGAACTGCAGTACTGTTTGTCTCAAAGGAAAGGACATAAGCGACATGAAAAAAGTCCCCGCAAGAACTTCGTTTTGAGCACTGCCGTTCAGAAAGCAACTCAACACTCAATTTAGGGCTTGTCATCCAGTTCCTCAAACTTTGGTGTTTTGAATATTGAATAAGGAGATACTCTATAAAGTCTCCTAAGGGTCGTTCGTGAATTAAGTCGTCGAGGAGGTTGTGTATCCAGGCGTTCCTCCGTGGTGGTTTGCAGCATCGGTTGTTTGGCAAACTTACATTTTTTGTTTAAAGAATATGGGTTGGTTTGGAGGTTCCGGCGGAAAGTCCAAGTCTTCCAAAGGGAAGAAAGGCTCCAAGAATAAAGGAGGCAAACCCGGAGCCAAGAATGTTCCAGGCGGCTCTACAGTGTTTCGGGTGACTGTCCCTGACAATGTGAAACCTGGAGATGAATTTCAAGTATACGCTGGCAATAGAATTGTAAGAGTTCGTTGCCCACTCGACTCCAGGGCTGGTCAGTCGCTGCAGATAACTGTTCCAGCGGAAGGTCCAGCAGACGCACCTCCTCAGGAGAGACCTCGGGATTCCGACAATGTCCGGAAGATCGAAGGCTCAAACCCGCCTGCCTTCATGGTGGGCATCCCAGAAGGGACTGCACCTGGAAAGCAGTTCCCGGTGATTGTTGGAGGACAGCAGCTGATGGTAACATGCCCTCAAAATGCTCGGGCTGGCATGTCTGTGAGGATTGTTCCACCTCCCATGTCCACTGATGTAACACAACAACCCTCTGCTGATGCACCTGCAAATGCTGCACCTAAAGCGAAGCCAAAACCCAAGCCAACAACTCAACTTTTCGAAGTGCAAGTGCCACAGGGAGTCACACCGGGATCTCCATTTGCGTTGATGGCTGGAGGAGTGCGAGTGCTTGTTACTTGTCCTCCAAATGCGGGACCTGGGCAACGAATCCGTTTCAAGTTACCATTGGAACTTGTACAAAAGCCAAAGGCGACAAACGAGGCGACACAGATCAAGATGAAATATGGAAAAGATGGTTGGCAGCGTACTGTCCGTGCTACTGATTTGAAATTCCAGTGGGTTAGAATGGATGAAAAGGGTGACGTGGATAACGCGAAGCGTTTCCATATGGAAAAATCGGCGTACGTGCGACGATTGGACTTTCGCCCTGGTAACGACCCACGTATCCGAACTGGTCTCTTGTCTCTTATCCCTGCCAACGAGTCTGCGACGGAATCTAAGATCAAAGCTGCAGATGGCAGAGACCTGGTCACCTATTCGGACCTGGCAAATGCACAGGTTAAAGATTTTGCAGACAAGGCTCAATGGTTCCAGGATACATGTGCTCAGCTTTGTGTCGAGTGGAATGAAGGACACATGAGAATGAATGTGCGCCGTGAGTTTTTGCTGGGCGATTCTGTTGATGCTGTCATGTCTTTAAGTCGAAAAGACTTGCGAAAACTGTGGCGTTTCGAATTCATTGGAGAAATGGGCATCGATGCTGGCGGCCTTGCACGTGAATGGTTCCAGCTCGTCACGGAAGAAATTTTTGATCCTGATATGGGTTTGTGGCAGTCGAGTGCTACAAATCAAATGAGTATGACCATCAACCCAAATTCTGGTACGTCTCAAAAGCCACTTTACTTCGTGTGCAAATAGCAAATAGCAAATTTTGTACTCAATTGTCCCCCTCTTTCTCATTGTATCGTCACAGACTTCTGTTGTGAAGACCACCTTGTATATTATCGATTCCTGGGTCGTGTCATGGGCAAAGCAATGTTTGATCGTCAATTGGTGTGTGGCCATATGGTCAAACATCTTTACAAGCACATGTTAGCATGGCCAATCCAATTCAAAGATCTTGAACATATAGATTCGGAGTACTACAACAATCTTAAGCAATTGCAGGGAATGCATGATAATGATGACGACATATCCATGCTCTGTCTGGACTTTACGACAACGTCAGAAATCATGGGGCAGAAACAAGAAATTGAACTCGTAAAGGGAGGGTCCGACATTGAGGTTACAAACGAGAACTTCCCGGAATATGTGGAAGCATGTCTGAAATATAAACTTATGGATATGGTCAAGCCACAGCTAACGGAACTGCTATTGGGGTTCTTCGACGTAATCCCGGAACCGTTGTTGACCATTTTTGACTTTCAAGAGCTTGAGCTCCTGATGTGCGGTCTCCCTGAGATTGACATGGCGGATTGGAAAAAATATACAGAATACTCTGGCGAGTATGAGGAGGACGAAGAGCATCAAGCTGTACTGTGGTTCTGGGAGGTTGTCACGGAAATGGATCACGAGATGAAAGCGCGCCTCTTACAGTTTGTGACGGGGACGTCAGGTGTTCCGTCCCGAGGCTTCGGTGTTTTGCAAGGGAATGATGGAAACATTCGATTATTTACGATCCATGGGCTACCGATGGATGTATGCCTCTATCCCCGAGCGCAGTGAGTGAACCTCCCTTTTGAAATTGATTTATCTACCCTCGCTCTCACGAATGTTATCTTCATAGTACTTGCTTCAACCGTATCGATCTCCCAATGTTTGATTCAAAAGATGATCTGAAAGAGAAATTGAAGCTCGCAATTACCATGTCTTCTACAGGATTTGATATTGAGTGAAGCGCTCGGCGTGTTCAACCAAAGTATAGCTTTGTAGGAAGGATGTAGGTTCAAGAAACCATCCTGTGTATGTATAATTGTTACAAAACAGCCGAGTCTATATAATATACATTTCAGTTGCTGATAAACGACATGGCTATCACATGACATATAGCAATTACAACCACGAACATGGAACACTTCAAACTAGAGTGCTTTAGAAATCTTCGAACAGCTTTTGTTCCTTCGAATTGAGCGGTCTGCCAGTATCCTTTTCCTTCTCTTCTCTGCTGAAGTCAGAAAAGTAGGATGAATCCAATGGATTCTTAACCTTAGGCACCCAGGGAGACTTCAACTCTCGATTGTTCAGCTTCTCGAAATCCAAAGACTTGAACCACTCGTGCTCCTTCACGTCAAGGTAGCCACGACTCAAGTTTCCAAGACGAGATGCCTGTCGGCGAGTCAACAGCTTCTTTATCAAGTCCTTCGCTGCATCATTCACAGATGATGGGCAAGAGTATTTCACCATCACAATACGTTTGAACAGACTCACTTGGTCTGTACCATATGTGAAGAAAGGCGAACGCCCAACCAACATCTCGTAAACCAAAACTCCGAAAGACCAGTAATCAACTGCCTTGTTGTGTCCCTTCGACATGATGATTTCCGGTGCCAAGTACTCTGGAGTACCGCAAAGTGTATAGGTTTTATCAGTAACAATCTTAGCGAAGCCAAGGTCGATCATGATACAGTATCCTTTGTCGTCAATAAGAGCATTCTCCGGCTTCATGTCTCTGTAGACAATATTTCGGGCATGCAGATATCCCAGCGCCTCTAGGATACAAGCTCCGTAAAACAAAGACGCTTCATTGGAAACTCCGTCTCGCTTGTCGGTGTGAATGACGTTGAACAGTTCGCCACCTTGGAACAAGGGAAGAAGCAAGTACAAGTTCTTGTCATCTTGAAAGCCTCCTACAAGTCCAAGAATGAAGTGATGGTCGATGCAGCTCATGATTTGTTTTTCCCTAATAACACCCTTGACTTGATTTGCCTCAATCAGCTGCCTCTTGTTAATGGTCTTAAGGGCATAAGGAATATTGCCTTCTTTTGTGGAACACAACCATACCTTACCAAATGCACCTGCGATCAAGGAACGAATGAAATAGTTTGCTCAGTAAAAAAGAAAAAGACCAGCAAACAAGAATGCAAGCAAGCCTTACCCATTCCAAGCATTCGATGTTTCTTGATATCTTCCAAGTTTACAGAGTTATCCCTGGTCGCAGGAACAAAAGGAATTGGCTTTCCAAGTCTCTTCAAGTCACCAATTACCTCCTCAATGTCCCGACGTTTCAAAATCCAACATGTAGTGTCCTCTTCGCAGACACAAGTATCTTCACTCACGAAATCAGCCTTGTCATCTTTTTGTCGCACAGCCTTGTCACCAAAATAGTCCCCGCCTCCCAAAAAGAAGATTTTTCCTTCCGAATTAGTCACCATCAGTTTTCCTTCCTTCACAATCCACAAATACTGATGACCAGGCTTTCCAGCCTCAGCAAGTTTTGAGCCTTTTTCGTATTTCTTCTCCACCATCAAGGACTCAAGATGATCGTACTCGATCTGAAGCAGTTTCGATTCAGCAAAGATTGGAACACTCTTGATGAATCTCTTCTTCGCTTCGATTCCAAGAACACTCTCAAGGGGACCAATGGTTGTTTCAAAGGTCTTTCGGTCGACCGCAAAGGCTTGTGTTTCTGTCATGGCAGTAACATTGGCAGCTCTTGGCTCTCCCGTCATGAGCGCACGCTCACCAAACCAATCACCTTGCTTCAGGACTTGGTCTGCATAGCTGGCATCCCCCAGGCCAATGTCATGAACACGAACTTGTCCTTCGTTGATGATGTAAAAGATATCCCCTTGATCTCCTTTCTGAACAATTGCTTCGCCTTCCGAAAAGGTAACTGTGGAAAGTACAGATGCAAATTTGGATATGACACCCTTGTCAAGGCCTTTGAACAAATCGATCTTTGCCAAAGTCTCAGTAACTGTATTCTCTTGGGCCATATTTGTGCGTGCGAGCAACATTCTGAAAGTGTTTTGGTCTACCTTCCAAAGCTTACAAAAGCTTGCTGCAACACAGGTAGCAGCCCGGGGCGAGTCATACAGCAACGCAAGCTCCCCAAAGGATGCTCCTTTTCCACAAGAACCAACATCCTTGCCATCAGCGAGGAAGGTAATACTACCTTCTTCGACAATGTAGAAGAAGTCGCCAACATCACCTTGTGTGATGATGGTTTCACCTTCTGAACATTCTTGTTTCTGTAGGGCCTTGATGAGCATAGCCCGTTCTTTGGACGACAGTTCCGCAAAAATGAAGTTCTCTCCCAAAGCTTCATCCAAGAATTTGATATCTTCTTTGGTCTTAGGATAATCTGGAGGCTGGAAATCAGCATCGACATCGAGAAATCGACCTTGCACAGCTTTACGATTCTTTGCATGCAGTTTGATTTGTTCTTCTCTGTTCACAATCCTTTGAGAGGCGTCTGCAGTCGGAAGCCCTCTCTCAGGAGTTTTTGCCTTCGTTTGCTGGGGGAAAAAATCTTTAGAACAAAGTAGTCGATAGTCAACGCCATTGTGCTTCAATAGTTGACAGTACCTTCTGAGTGCTCTCCACAGCATCTGGTTTTGACGAACAACCTCCCATTGTTGATGAAATCTGTGTCTTTCGCGTTGGTGAATGGAAGCAGAAGCAGATAGTCACCCAATGTCTGTCTGCATCGTTGTTTTTTCAGTGATTCAGTTGCCGATTTTGGGCAAATCCAGCATAGTACAGAAGATACGCGTAGGAAATGATCGTAAGCATAATTTTTTTAGTGAAGCTTCCGTTTGATGACGTTAAAATCAATGAAATGGGTCATTTTGGGTTGCGATGTCTGGGATTCGAAAGCCGTATTCAATTTTCTATTTAGCTATTCCAACAAGGTTGTGAACCAGAAATGTTTCATATTCTGTACAAAATAAAAATTGTGCTGTAGCTTGATTGTGTCCCGTAGACATCTTTCAAACGCCGTGTGTCGAGGTACTCGTACCTGGTACTACGAACAGACAATGACCACAGTTGTGCCAACAAAGTGAATAGTTTATTGTTTCCACTGTGGATCGCAGATTTAATTGAAGTAAGTAAAACACTGTTGCTGCGACTGACGAGGTCTCTGTACTACTCCATCTAAACTTCGTTTTCGATCATCTTTCGTTTTGGCACCCAGTTTCTTTAAAACCAAATAAGAAGATGCCTGAACGACGCATGCCATCCCAACATGCCTCCGCTCGTATTGTAAGCAGAGAAGAACAAATCAAACTGCATGCAAAGAATCGTAAAGCTGTGCAAGGTCGATTTCTCGATGTCGATGCTGATTTCCAGCCTCCAGATTATCCTAAGACCAAAGAAGATATCAAATTTTTGGATGAAGCTTTGGGAGAGAACTTCATTTTTGCGGAACTGTCGTCCAAAGAACGGGCTATGCTCATCAAGGCCCTACAGAAACAAGAATGTTCAGAAGGTGAAACCATCATCACACAAGGTGATGTTGGCGACTTCTTCTACATTGTCGAAGAAGGTAGTATTACCTTCCTCGCTGATGGCAAGGATGTTGGTTCTTGTGGAAAAGGAGCATCCTTTGGGGAGCTTGCGTTGCTGTATGACTCGCCCCGGGCTGCTACCTGTGTTGCAGCAAGCTTTTGTAAGCTTTGGAAGGTAGACCAAAACACTTTCAGAATGTTGCTCGCACGCACAAATATGGCCCAAGAGAATACAGTTACTGAGACTTTGGCAAAGATCGATTTGTTCAAAGGCCTTGACAAGGGTGTCATATCCAAATTTGCATCTGTACTTTCCACAGTTACCTTTTCGGAAGGCGAAGCAATTGTTCAGAAAGGAGATCAAGGGGATATCTTTTACATCATCAACGAAGGACAAGTTCGTGTTCATGACATTGGCCTGGGGGATGCCAGCTATGCAGACCAAGTCCTGAAGCAAGGTGATTGGTTTGGTGAGCGTGCGCTCATGACGGGAGAGCCAAGAGCTGCCAATGTTACTGCCATGACAGAAACACAAGCCTTTGCGGTCGACCGAAAGACCTTTGAAACAACCATTGGTCCCCTTGAGAGTGTTCTTGGAATCGAAGCGAAGAAGAGATTCATCAAGAGTGTTCCAATCTTTGCTGAATCGAAACTGCTTCAGATCGAGTACGATCATCTTGAGTCCTTGATGGTGGAGAAGAAATACAAGAAGGGAGCAAAACTTGCTGAGGCTGGAAAGCCTGGTCATCAGTATTTGTGGATTGTGAAGGAAGGAAAACTGATGGTGACTAATTCGGAGGGCACGATCTTCTTCCTTGGTAGTGCCGGATACTTTGGTGACAAGGCTGTGCGTCACAAGGATAGCAAGGCAAGCTATGTCAGTGAAGATACTTGTGTCTGCGAAGAGGACACTACATGTTGGATTTTGAAACGTCGAGATATCGAAAGTGTTATTGGTGACTTGAAGAGACTTGGAAAACCGATTCCATTTGTTCCTACTTCCAGGGATAACTCTATTGACTTCGCTGATATTGAAAAGCATCGCATCCTTGGAATGGGTAAGGCTTGCTTGCATTCTTGTTTGCTGGTCTTTTTCTTTTTTACTGAGGCAAACTAATTCATTCATACCTTGATCGCAGGTGCATTTGGTCGTGTTTGGTTGTGCTCTACGAAGAAAGCCAATACTCCTTATGCCCTTAAGACTATTAACAAGAGGCAGCTGATTGAGGCAAATCAAGTCAAGGGTGTTATTAGGGAAAAACAAATCATGAGCTGCATCGACCATCACTTCATTCTTGGACTTGTAGGAGGCTTTCAAGATGACAAGAACTTGTACTTGCTTCTTCCCTTGTTCCAAGGTGGCGAACTGTTCAACGTCATTCACACCGACAAGCGAGACGGAGTTTCCAATGAAGCGTCTTTGTTTTACGGAGCTTGTATCCTAGAGGCGCTGGGATATCTGCATGCCCGAAATATTGTCTACAGAGACATGAAGCCGGAGAATGCTCTTATTGACGACAAAGGATACTGTATCATGATCGACCTTGGCTTCGCTAAGATTGTTACTGATAAAACCTATACACTTTGCGGTACTCCAGAGTACTTGGCACCGGAAATCATCATGTCGAAGGGACACAACAAGGCAGTTGATTACTGGTCTTTCGGAGTTTTGGTTTACGAGATGTTGGTTGGGCGTTCGCCTTTCTTCACATATGGTACAGACCAAGTGAGTCTGTTCAAACGTATTGTGATGGTGAAATACTCTTGCCCATCATCTGTGAATGATGCAGCGAAGGACTTGATAAAGAAGCTGTTGACTCGCCGACAGGCATCTCGTCTTGGAAACTTGAGTCGTGGCTACCTTGACGTGAAGGAGCACGAGTGGTTCAAGTCTTTGGATTTCGAGAAGCTGAACAATCGAGAGTTGAAGTCTCCCTGGGTGCCCAAGGTTAAGAATCCATTGGATTCGTCTTATTTCGAAGACTTCAGTAGAGAAGAGAAAGAAAAAGACACCTCCAAACCTCTGAGCTCTAAGGAACAAAAGCTGTTCGAAACATTCTAAGCTGCACTCAGGCTTAAAATAAATCATTGTACCGACAGGGCAACTGTTATCAATATAGGGTATTTGTAGAACATAACAACAGATGAACTCGCATTGATATGTGTCGAATCAATCATCGAAGGTGATGTCGCCATTTCATTCATTCATTTTCATGTGAATTTTGTTCTAGAAGTCATACTATTCGATTGTGGTGGTGCTGCTTGCTACCGAGCCGCCGATCTGTTAAATGTCTTCCCCCAGAAAGACAGTATTTCAACACATTTCAGTCCGCAGCAAATCATTGATATTGTCAATATCAACTACAAGAGTGACATGGTTGCTGAGCTTGGACAATATGTTCATGCAATTGGGACGGATTCCAACAATTCGATGGAACCCTGCAGTATCAAATATATATATATGTATAACTGAATCATTAATTGTTTTTATGCTACTTCTAGAGTATCCAACTGCCGGTGTAATATGGCTGTAGAGGCCAGGAACTGTATGCTGCTTTTAGTCAGATAAGTTTGAACCACATTGAGGCATTTTTCGAGAAAAAGTTGCTCTAGTCAATCATGTCAGGGGACAGATTGGCGCTCCCACTGTTGGTGGGGAAGTACAAACAAGGTGCACGAATATCTCCTTGGATACAGAAAGAATTTTGTGGGTACCGTTTTCAAGGAAAGAATTGAATGCAATTCTTTCTAGCCAGGCCTGTCAATGGGAAGGTTGGCGCTCCCACTCTGATGGTGGGGATTTGGAAATGGAGAACCAGAAATTTGGTCGGCTGTATCTTTTCCAGAGAAAGAAACAAGACAAACAAGCTGTACAACATGGAGGAAATGCAAGCATTGGGGGTTTTCTTCACAATGTCGACCGTCAAGAGGGTGGTAGAATTTGAGCGGGTTGTTGCCTCCAGACCTTCCTGAGCGTGCTCAGGTGCAGTCCTTGTCAATTTCAAAGCCACCTCTTGTGATTTTGCTTCATTCGAGCCCATGGTTGGTGGCCACTTCTGGTGGGCAGCGCAGACATCATAAAATAGGATTGTTGTTGTGTGTACATAGTTGAAAATTTTGTTCTGGCTCCAACCTTGTTTTGTGGACCATCCAATTGAGAATCGGTCCAAAGAATGAGCAATGGTTGTTGGAAACGCCGTTGTCAAAGCATGCCAAACGATTTCAACAAAGTCCATGGTGGCATTGCATGGATTGAGTCGCTTGGGAGAATCGTGTGCCTTGCCACCTTTTGGGTTCGCTGGCGTGGATGCAAGTCGCTTCTTAATCTTGGACTGAGCTTTGGCTATTTTTGCTTTTCGCTTTAGTCGCTCGAATGCCTCCACAATGGGAGGAATGATAGCAGGGCCTGTCCAAGGAGGAGCAAAGAATTCGTGTGCCGCTAGCCATATCCAAGTCAACAGCTCGGCGCGTTGAACAATTAATGTCGGGTCGAACATGAGCAAAAATTCCCAAAAGCAAGGCACTTTTTTTGTCAGTAGTGATAACGCGTTGGGCCGTTGCGAGAGAAAACACCTCCTGCCTCCAAGCCTTCTTGTAGAGCCTGTGAAACGTTGACACCTTGAGTTTTGTGATATAGGAAACGAGCGATTGTCCTTGCACTGCGCCATGCTCGGCGGTTTTGTAAGGAGGGGGTTGCTTGCGTTGGCTCTTTGAAGTCGTGGGATCAGGATTGTCCTTGGTGAAATCGATCGACAAAGGAGTGGTCAAATTCGGTCGAGTGTTGGCCGTGGGGACGTCCTGACCTTGGGCAACTTCAGAGGGGAAGAGCGAGTGTCCGTTCATTGCGCCATCCTTGGCGGTTTCTGAAGGGTTTTGCTTGCTGCTGCGCTTGGGGGTCGTGATGGCAGGATTATCCTTTGTAAGAGCAATCGACGATTGAGCGGTCGAATTTGATTGGGTTTTTCCCTTGAGACCTCCCTGACCTTGGTCAGCTACAGCCGTGATCAAATGCAGATCCTTCTCCGGCGGGTTGACCATGTTATCCTTTATGATAAAGTAAATTTCTTTCCTGTTTCAGCAACAACAACTGTTTTCCTTTATGTAGGAAATGCGTAGGACTGGTACAGTTTTGTTTTGGTGCTGTGCGTGGAAAAATATTTTCTACCTTTTAGTTTTTGATTTTTGAGTTTTGAGTTTTATACCCCGCAGTAGACCTGATGCGTCTCTGCGACTTCCAGTACCCCATTGGCCTCATGCAAGAATGGGTCAACAATCCACGGTTCTTCACTGCCACATACAGTGGGTCTTCTCGAGGACTCCTCCTGTGCTGGCATGTCTTCGTTCCTAAAGCCTTTGCTCGCAAGGCCAACCTAATTTTGGCCGCAAACTTGGACATCCGTAAGCCCAGTTGTGCTCCCTTCCAAGCACCGACCCATTACCCCAGGCACTGGCAGGCAGCAAAAGATGAATTGGTTCTCGGCAAACAGTGCCCACAGCTCCAGTCAGTGATCGAAGCCATGCGGGAAAGGACTCGGGCGACCCGAGTTCTGACTGCCATCTGGGCATGCTGAATTCGGCTGCCACTGAGAACTTTGGAAAGCTCACCCTCCTACGATTTCTCCTTGCCGTCATTGTCACTGGTGCCCAGGCCAAGAAGGCTGAGGAAGCAGAACCTCAGAAGCCACCGGCCAAGGCCCTTGAGGTGCTGAGTGATAGTGAGTTGTCTGGTGACAAAGATGTTGATGCAGGCCTGTTGGGATATGACGAAATATGAGTTTTAACGTTCCAAGAAAAACTAGTCAAGTACAAAGTTTTTGACACGCACGATCGGAATTTGATCGTGATGTCGGGATTCGACGCAAGTCTGCCGGACAATCTATATCCACACGAAAAGGGAAAGACCCAATACAAGTGAAATATTGATGTTGTGTACGATACAGTAGGGAATAATACAAAATGTCCCAAAGTACTGCATTCAACACAGAATCCTTGTAGAAGTCGAATCGAGTTCTGTAAACAAGGGATTTTCCAAGGGAAAATTGTTGAACTCACTTTTGTGATTGAATCATCAATTCAAGCCAAA